TATCCCTAGGGGTGTGAGCTCTATTGTTTCCACCTCTGCAGCTACTGCTCTGTGCCACAGGGCACCACAGCTCCTTCTCCCAAATGGCTGCCTCACTCCACAGTCCTCTCTTCACACTCATGCCACAAAATCAGCACAGACCCATGACAGACTACACCCTGCCCAGACTCCTCAATAAAATGTCCAAGAATCTGGTCTCCTTGGGGGACAGGCTTCCCTACCTGGGGTGAGAGTGGAAGGGAGTGCTGGGAGTTCAGAATTGCCGGCAGAGAATATGTACAGTTCCATGCCTGGCAGGAGAGTGCCATGGCACACTAGTATGTCCTCTCTGAGAAAGCAGTTTTTAGAGGGTCTCTCTAATGAGATAAAATAGGAGGAGATCTGAACTCTGCTCACTTGTTCATAGAAAGTATACTGTTAGCTGTTCTCATGGGGGAGAGGGTCTCCCATCCACTTGGCAATGGATTTTGGACCTATTACTTGTTTCCTTGGAGTCACAGCTTGCCTCACCAGGGTTTATGTGCACTCTTCATTCTTCTCTCTTGGGTCAGCTCCAAACCATCAGCTTACTTCCTAAACTTCTGTCCTTTAACTCTCCTTCTGGTGGGAAGCCTCTGTGGAAAGCTGGCTCCAGTTAGCCATCTTGCCTCTGTCCCCCCCATAGAGTTTATTATTAAATGTGGTGATCAAAAAATGAACATATCACACATTTAAATGTACGAAGAAAGTTCAAGCTGATAAGTCCCTTAGATGGGAAAAAAGACAGATGGGATTTACAAGGAGGACATAACATTAACCATACAACTACAATGAAGAATCACAAAGAATGTCAAAGCAGGCTTTTATTTTAGGGTGAAGTTACCTATTACAGACTGATTCACAGTTTTCATGGGGAAAGTTTGAGCAGTAGCTCCTTTCATGTATCCAAGTCATGCTTATGGTGTCTGGAGCTTAGCATTAGGAAACACCTCTTGATCAACATAATTGGCAAAAGGATCCCATTTATCTTCTGCATAAATCTCCTCTATTTTAGCTTCATTCCTTCATTCTCTCACCATTCATTCTTCGTACACTAAGGGTCTAGGATGCTTTGGCCTACAAATGGAAATTTAACCAATCTCTCCTAAGGTGGTCTATTATTGAAAATATATATGAAGTGAGATTTGTGGAAAATTTCCAGGTGGTCCTCTGGTCAACAACATTGGATGAATATTTGGGAAAATTCCCCCAAAAAATCCTCTTTTGGATTACAATCTATATCAGTCCATGAAGTAGAACCAGTGTAGATCCCCAAAATACATGCACATTTTTTACTTATTTATGGAACAGATTTTCACTCCAGAAATAAAAACTGCAACACTCTATTTGTTAGTCTCCTTGAAGATGTACCTTGTTCGCAAAGCACAATGGCCTTCCACTTAGTACAAAGCAACTAAAGTCATTTTGAAAAGAAACTTTGCAATAGCTATTAAAAATTTTAAGCACATGTACTCTGTCTCATGAGTCCCACATTAATAAATATGTCACATATGTATAAATACATTAGAGCACATGAACATATGCAATAAAGGTAATACTGAAGCATCCTTTTAATGATATTAATCACATAAAGAAGTGGAAGTTCATATCAGTGGATGATTACACTATTGTATGATATGTTATGAAAACTTAAGTATCTATTGTAAACACAGCACTATTTTACTAAAATAAAGGAATCCCTGACATACTTTCTAAGTTGGAGAACTCAAAAAAATTAAATATATTTACATCATAAAGAAAATAACTTTTTATTATTATTTAAATTTAATATACAATAGGGTATCAAACAAATATCACGTACCTACTGAAACACAGTTAGACTACATGTAAAAACACTTTTCTTTGCCATAATTTCATCAATGCTCTCTTCATCTCACTGTTGCGCAAACTGTAGATAAGTGGATTCAGCAAAGGTGTAAGCAGTGAGTAAGACAATGAAATCACTTTCTTGGTTTCTGGTGAGTAGCCAGATTTGGGTTGCAAATAACTCATGTTGGCCGTACCAAAAAAGAGGGTCACAGATGTGAGATGAGAGGCACAGGTGGAAAAGGCCTTTTGCCTCCCAGTGGTTGATGGCATCTTCAGGATCACAAAAAGTATTCGAATATAAGACAAGAGTATCAACAAGAAAGGAATCACACCAATCAAAATGGTGCTTGTAAAAGTATATTTTTCAAACAAAAATGTGTCTGCACATGCAAGATCTAGCACTGCTGGAATTTCACAGGAGAGATGATTAATTTCGTTGGGGCCACAGAAAGGAAAACTAAATACCCATGTGGTCTGCATAGTAGCCCCCATGATCCCTGAGACCCATGAGAATATTACTAATGTCATGAAAACTCTTCTGTTCATAATCACTGGGTAGTTCAAAGGATGGCAAATTGCAGCAAATCGGTCATAAGCCATCGCTCCCAGGAGAAAACATTCAGTCCCACCAAAAAGAAGAATGAAATACATCTGTGCAAAACAGCTCACAAAAGACATCACAGTTTTCTCCGTGGAAAGGATCACCAGCATTTCAGG